TGTATACCAATTGATTCATCAACACTTGATTTTCCATATGAAGCATTAAAATAAAAAAGAGAGAAACAGTGCTTTCATATCGTAATAAAAATTTTCTCCTTAAAGTCCAGATCCTTGAGAACTGGCTTTTTGAAATTGCAATGTTCTTGAATTTTTAGGTAAACAGGTATAATTGAGTACTTTCCGTGAAGAGAAATTATATGAGAACAAGTACTCTCTTATCTAAAACAAATAAAACATGTCTTTTAATCCTCAAAAACAGTTCTATCATTTACTTGTTGTATATTTTAGATCAGTAGTTGCGCTCTATATTAAATATCTAAAAATAGCTTTAAATATTTGCAGTTTTTGTACACTTTTTTCAGAATATAAGGGAATTGGCGCAATTCGTGAAGTCATAATGAGGAGAAGGATATGGAAATAACGAACAGTATTCAATCTCAACGTCCATTAAACAAATATACAAAATAAGAGCAGAGCAAACACGGACCTCCGAAACATCAGAGGTGGGATCAGGTGCCATGGAGGAGTGAGCATAGACAAGCCATAAAATTTCGTCATTTTTGATAGATACGGAGTCACCAAAAATCTAAGTGATGTTCAATGCATTGTTAACTAAAGACTATGGATTTTCAGTTTTTCAGAAATACACAGGGCCAAATAAGACAAAAGTGAACCTTATTCTTTATAGTCTGCACGCCTTGCGTTTGTAAACTTCCCGATTTTTTGAATGATGGTTACGGCATGTCGATATATCCATACAATTTATATTATTTTAAATAAATTAAAATAATTACATATAATTCTTTATCCTAACCTTTTTTTAAAAAAAATGGATTAAACTTTTACTCCAATCAATCCTAAAGAAAAAAAGAGAAAGGTCATGTTTGTTTCGAGTCACCTGTCTTTTATGACCAATACAATCTTGAGCAACAAAGTTTATTTAACAATTATTGTTTTACACTACATGTACTTGATATAATTCAAAAATTATATCAATTAATATGTGAAAGTAATAGCTCTTGGGATTGTTTGTTCACGTAAACACAACCGTAAACGTAAACAACGCTTGGAATGCATAGTCAGCATATAATATCTCAACATACTTGGAATGCTCAAGAAAAGAAATATAGGCGTCCTTAATCTATGAACTTATATAACCAAAAATCGATAAAAATACAACAAAGACTTAATATATGGGCAAAATTAATGTAGCTTACATATAAACTAATTTTTAAAAGAAAAAAAAGGTCGTATCCTACTTTCGTTTTTAAATTCATATATATTTATTTTGTTATGATTTAAAAAAATGTTTTTGCATCATTTATGCAGTTTGAATAATAGCTACATATGCAATTGCAAATTTGGGGTGCGATTTATCCATAGAATCTGGTTTTTTTCCCAGGATTTCCCAACAACTTTGGTCAGATTGGGAAGGTGTAACAAGAGCGCGGTTTGTATAAAGTACCTGCGGCTTTAAAGTAAAAATTTGAATTTACCAAAATATTATACACCAAAATTAGTGGTATACCTTGGCAACCTAAAATCGCCATATCTGTGTCCCGCCAAAAAATCCGGCTATACGGTATTTATGCTAAATCTCCATAGCATTGTCAAAATTGTGTAAATAATCTTGCATTCTAATCTAATTCTAAAATCTTCATTTTTTCACTTAAGTAGGTTTATATGTGTAAATTATTAAAATATATATATATAATTTATTCTTATTCCTTTTTCGGTAGAGAACTTGTACAAACAACTTATTGTATGAACATTTACAGTAAAGCATATTATCCAATATCAGATTTTTTTACCAATGTTTTATTAGGATATGCAAGTGTGGCATTACATTTAAATTTGTTAAAATCGTAAAGACTTTGAATCTTATTAACCAGCATACATATGTTTTTCATTTACTTAACCATTTTATATTACTATCTATAACCATTTCTTAATTTGTAGTGGTAAACGTGCTGGGCTCTGCAGTAGGAACAGGTATTTTTGGTTTAATATTTGGTATCTTGCTAGGATTTGTCGTCGTGTTCCTTATCCAGAAAAGAAAATAGAGGTAAAATAGTACTAGGCAATTGTTGAAATGGATAATTTAATCAAAAATTGTTTTAGGCAGAGAGTTCACTGAGTCAAAATTACTAAAATCTCAATCCTCATGCACTTTTTTTTATTATTTTCACCTATTTTTTCTTCAAATGTACAAATGTTCCACTTCATGTCATTGTCAAAAATATTTTACTCTACCTAACATCAATCAGTTTGAAACATGTATTTAACGTAACTGAAATGAACTTTATTTGATGTCTTTTCAGGGGAAAAAAATTATATTTTTATTACTGGATGATTCATCTTCTAGAATGTGTAACTTGTTTACTTTTTAAAATATAAACACTTACAATATATTGATTCTGTAACTTAATAACGATATGGTGTATTTAGACTTGTTTAAATCTGAGCTTTTTATCTTTACTAGTGCTACATGTACATTTTATAAGAAGACATAATGAAAATTGCAATAATATTAAAAATATATTCTTGATTGTTTTCGTTTTTTAAATGTTTGGTTTGCTCGTTAGAATATATATTCATTTTTTGTTTACTAGCAATATCTATATATGTTTCCATTTCCAATTGTTTTCTCTATGATAAACACTTGAAAAATTTATCGTGTTAGTTTCTTCTAGATGATATCTGTGGTATGTATATTTCTCTATAGAAATATTACTGAAAGGTCAAATGTCAACCTGCATGTATAAGAGTGGCGTATGAATACAATGAAGAAAAAATAGATGTTTTAACTTTTATTTAATTGTTTTCTAGCTAAATCGATACGATATATTTTTTCCAAACTCCTAAATAGACAGTGATTTCTTAAGTATTTGCAGAAAATTAAGTTCATTACAACATCCAAAGGGTAAAAGATAATTCCATGAGGATTTTTTACGGCAAAAACACAAGATTATAAACAGGATCACATCTTTTATCTTGATTCTTCACAATGTATCTATTTTTCACAGAATCAAGTAAATTTATTTACAAACACCAGGAAAGACATTTGCTTTACATCAATATCGACTGTATCTAATATAAAATACTATTTAAAATCCTATATTTCTAGAATCTGCATGATGAAGAATCTTACGATATAAAAACACACAGGATTATTCATCTTTTTTTTTTGTTTTGAAGTGAGACAAGAGAAAATCCTATTTTTTTTTTATTAATGACGAAAACGTTAATGAAAAATGTTTTTTAATCCGTAATACATTCTCATTAATGCTGATTCCTAATATGATCAAAACAACTTCGTTTCAGATAAAAAAAACCATTACAATATTAAGTTGTTTCCTGAAAAATACCATTTAAAGCATAAGCATAGTAAATTGCTATCTCTCTCTTTATCCCCCCTCTCTCTCTCTCTTTATGGAGAAAATGGCTTTACATTCAAGGAAAGAATTTTAGTTGTGTAGAGCAATATTTTCTTTTTCATTACATATTCTTCTACATGTAAAAATATATTGTTTTTCTTATTTAAATATAATAATTCATATTCAGCTTATGACTTGTTTCTATTTTAACCTACACATACCAATATTGTACTAATGATAAGCACTGTTATAAGATCCTTGCTTCATAAAAATGTTTATCATTTTATATCGTGCTCGGATTAAAAAATTATCGATAACATGGAAGACTCCTGTTAACTTTCTTTGCAATCAAGAAATTATTTGTGTACATGATGCCCCACGTACATTATCAACAACAATTGAATGCACATGTTGTACCGATACCAGAGTATACTTATGGTTTTAGTGAGCAAATAAAGAAAAATAATGGTATCATTTTTTAAAACTAAATCGATTTCTCTCTCAAGGCTTGTCTTTATTACCCTTCTCGAGAACCCCCTCCAAATTTTGATTCTTTTCAAACATTGTAGCTTATATCATGTTCACAAAAATTACTTCTGTATGAGAACACATCAAGTCTTACATATGTATATATTGGTGGATATAATTCCCGGTCACTTTTTATACAACAACGTGTACATGCAGATTTACGGAATTACATTGTTTAATGTTTATTTGCAGATTTGTAAAAAAAAAACAAATTTAGATTGTCTTCATGGTGCATGAAATACAGATATTAACGAGAGAGGTCATAGTCAGAGATTTCAAGGTTTGCATATTATATGTAAGCCTTTGTCATTATATTTATCGAATTTGCCTTTGTGATGTTAATTATTGCAATATGTTAATGATAATTTGTCATGACTTTGACACAATATCACTTTGTCATGTATGGGCTACCTTAAAAAAGTACCGTTTCTGTATTCATACACATATTATCTTTCGTAGGATAACAATGAGGGATTCATATTTGACATGATTTCTTGTAGATTTAGGCTGTAATTAGGCCATGCACCAAGGTCACTGGATAATTTTAAGGAATGTGCATCACGCAGATCCAACGAAATACCCACCTTGGTTTCCAACAATCTTTGTTGTTGATATTCAAATTATTTTTCAAAGAGGGATTATCAAATTTAGCTTAAAATATTAAAACAAACATCGTAGATTGATGGAAAAAACTACAAATTCTGCTTAGTAATTTTCTTAACCTTTTATTTTCTATTATTCTAATACATATTGAATCATTATTAAAATCACATTTGTTAGATTGCATGCTGGTTTATTTGCTAATTCTGCTATATCATCTTGAGACAATCAGACGACTAAACCCGCCTGTAAATTTTAGAGTTGTGGAAATATAAAATCGAAAGTATTATGTCGAGTTTGACAAGATTACGTCGATTATGAGCATGGCGATAAGTGCTGCTTCAAACCTTAATTGCTACGTGAGATTAAACTAACAATGAAACAAAGATATAGTAAGTTTTGTTCTAGTATAATGCTCTTCAAGAGTTTGTTATTTGCAATTCATTTCATTTTTTTTACATGTAATATTTAAAGACTGTTAATTTTGTGTGATGTCAAAGCTTATATTCCTATAAAAACTTGGATCCGCCTCTTATTTGTAGCTCTGATGAATTGTACGTATCTTCATATTCACCTTCTCACTTATCAATATATGTAGAGAGGCTATTACTCCAGATGCCAGCGCCACTTTCTATTACAGCATCACTCCAACGTAAGTTTCATATCCATATAGAAATTTAATTTAAGTTCACACAAAGAAGTGTCACAGATTACCGTCTGCAGGTGATGTATCATCCAGTGCTGATAGCATTAAGTTATTGTTTCTGAAAAATTATCATACATAATTAAGTACCACATTTATTGTATAGTATTATTTACTTATTTGCATCAATTTAAACAAGACAAATTATTTCGTTTTCTGTTCTATTGCTCTAGCTACAAATTTTAAGGTTAAGTTAAGTTAAAGCTTTGGTGGTTTCTCACTAATCTTTTTTGGATAATTTATCGAACATATGTATATAGTAAAAACAAACAAACAAACACAGCGCGACTGCAATACTGATAAATTATACGTAAAATGTATTTTTCTACATGTATGGAAATGTAACATGATACACATGAGATAATTTGATTTGTTTTTTAATCTTACGCACAATTTTATACATTGTATAAAACCGATTTGAATTAACAAGCAATAGAAATGTTGACCAGTAATAAAATACTTGGTACTAATCTAAGAAATATATCTTCCACAGCATGCACTTGTTTACGCATAACGTAAAGATGTAGACATATAAAAGATAAAGATATCGGACAGTACGTGATAAAGCTCATAAATCCATACAAGAAATCAAATCACGAACAGGGAATAAAACACTGAGGTTTAGAGACACCGTTGGTGAAATCAGGAGCCTAGAGGTAGTGGACATTTACACTTGAACAGTTACGTCGTTTGTATAGTACCCTTTGTATTGATTAGATAGATAGGGTGACCCGTAGTCAAATTTCTTGTAAAAAAAATTAATGTGAATGAAAGATTCAGACAAAATACGATTGAATATTACTGTAAATTCTACAAAAATTGTCATTGACAAAAAAAAAAGAAAGAAAAAAAACCGGAACGCTTACTTTTAACTTTTTTTTGGAAACTGTGTTAATTATTAATTAATTTCAATTTATTTGTCGGTAACCATTGCGGTTTCAAGATTGTTGGTACTCGGATCGTGCTGAGTACATACCATGCTTTTTTTTTTTTACCTTAAATAAGATATATTAGTTTTTGAGAGTTTCATTCTTAATAGCTTTTCATCTAAAAGAATAATAATTCATTAACTTGGCATTTCTAATATGTAAGCTCCATGTTGAAAAAATGCATTCTATATTTCAAAAATATCTCAAAAAAAAACTACGAAAAATTCAATATGATTTATGCTTTTTTTTAGCAATTTTACTATGATGAACATAATAATATAATTGTCCTATAATAAATTAAACTTACCTGTTATCTTGCGCAAATTTTCTCAGACTAAGGAACATGACGACACTGCCTACCAAAACGCCAATAATTAAACCAGAAACACCAGCTCCTACTGTAGCGCCAACTATCTTAGCAACTAAATAACATATGTATCATTCATAAAATAACTGCGCATCTTTGCAAGTAAATAACAAAAAAAACAAAACCATAATATAAATAAATGTTTACTTTATAAAATAATATAAAAATAAAATTAATGAAAATATATGCATGTTAAACAAAAAAAAAAAAAATCGATTTATAAATACAGTATGAGTATTAGATAAACAATACAAAAATACGTACCATCAAAATGTTTTGAGCGAAAAAAATAAAATAAAAATAGCATTATCCTGTTGTTGTTAGATAGTATACTGATAATTAAAGAGAAAATTAAAATAAATCTCTTCGATATATAGAGCACGTAAAATCATATCAAGCACCCATATAATGTTTTTGGATTCAATTACACGATAAATGAACAAATCCATTATCTTATTATGTAAGATTCTAAAATACAAACATCTTCAATTTCAACATACAGTAACTGTTGTAATATATATTTTCTTTACCTTTGTCTGATCCTGATAGCTCTTTGATTCCTTGAAGACAGAAAAAAGACGATTACTTATTAAAAGCTTTATATTTTATCATTGCAAAAATCAAT